AGGACTTGCACATCTTTGACGCTACTGACTTTAACTCGGTCCTCGCACAACCGCGCCCCAGCATTTATTCCGGGCCAGACATAGCACATATATTGCCCACAAGCGAGCATCGACACGTGATGTCACCGCCGTCAGAGAAGACACTGCGCCCCATTCATCAATCAGCATGCACCCCAACTAGCCCCGGTGGTGGAGCCTTCAGTCGAGTCGACAGAGAGAGCGGCTTTGCCTATCTGCAAGCCAGCGGACCCCAGCAGATCGCCCCTCCCGAAGATGCGGATATCAGTGACTCCGTCAAAGAAGCTGCACTCTACGAACCTTTTACATACTGGGATTGGCACGGCCTGACTGAAGATGAATGGGAACATAGAGTGGATGAACGGAAAAGACAGTCGTATCGAGATCGCAAAAAACCTCATTATGCACCTCACGAAGACGATGAGCCAGAGCCCTGCTATCCCCTTGGAAAAGAGCGATGGGAGAGTTTCAAGAGGAAAGTACAAAAGAGTAAAGACCGATGGTATGTCAGGCGGATCGCCGTCAGCCGCTGGATGACACTCGGTGATCTGGACTGGATTTCGAAAAACCTACCCGCGCTTGAAGCCCTGGATCTGAGCGACATCGAGCACAACTCAGAATCGAATATGGGCTTTCGCGAAGGGGAGCGGTGTCGCCCGGAATGGAGCGAGATTTTGAAGTGTTTAGCCCGAGAGTGGCCAGGAATTACGATGGGATCTAAAAACCCCAAGTTCCATGATATTGAAGGTGAACTCAACTTTCTCAGAGAGTGGGACCTCGATTTTTTCACCTGTCTCATCGGTACCTTCAGAGCGCAAATCGCAAGTCGCTTAAGCGCCCCTGTGGACGTTAATCAATGCGCCATATTTTCTGGGCTGATCATGCGACAGAATTTGGCCGACGAGAAGCAAGAGCTTCTGGGAAAAAAGGATGTGGTAGAAGCGCGAAGATTGGTTAAGGGAATCAATGAGGGCCCGGTGGAACAAAAGAACGCCATGAAGGAGAAATTAAAGGACGTAATGACTGGCATAGCAACTCCTACCTACCGTATTTCAGCAACGCTTCGGCGAATGAAAGAGTTAGACTCCATAATACCAAAGGAAGAAAAGATGGTACTATCTAGTCGACTGAAATGGCTCGGTATCCGCCAATGGGAAGGAAGCGTGGGGCTGCCGGACCCAAGCCTTCGTGTTTTTCAGGAGTACCATTCAAAGTTCCAAAGCCTGGAAACAATTTCGGTCCGCGGAGACTACATTCCTGATCGTTGCGAAACTAGGGATCCCGAGGTTCTCCACCGTACCGTCTGCTGTGATCTGCTCGCTCTCAAATACATCACGCCGAAGAATGTAGCGAACTTGGAATTGAGGCATTCTGTTCACTCAATGCCATATCTGGTTAGCTATATCAAGAAAGAAATACCCAATATACAGCGGATCGGGATAGATCTCGGTGCGTTGGTCCAGATATATCCTTTGAAGGAGAAAAAGAACATTTCGCCATCAGAGGAACCTTGGGTCCCCTCAGATGACGAGTTCGTCGACACGGTACTCGCAGCTGCCAAAAAAGCCTGTGATGAGACAAACAAGAGTAATGACTTCACGCTCCCTCGAAATGAGCCTAATACAATATCACGGCGATATAAACGGCGCGTGGACTTTTATCAGAATGAGAGCGGCTCCATTGTTCCCCACACATCTTATCCCAGGCATGACAATCCAGATCTCTGGAATAGGTGCTCAATCGATAATTCCAAGAACCACCAATGGACACGGAAATCTCTGGAGAGAGATCAAGTAAACACCATGTTTCACATGCTTAAGAGGCTGTATGATGCAAGTCGAGGATCGGATATCAAGTTTTTCCCCATCAAACCAGAGGAACGGGACCGGAGCACGAATCCAATTCACCCACTTGCTCTCATTCAGTCCTATGAAGAGGTCTCACCTTCGATGGGCACCTGCAATGACGATTATATCACCATGGATCCGGTAAACCATTTCCCCAACGTTTTGAAATGGCTCAATCAGACATTCCAATGGAGGCCAGTATTTGACTGGGACTGGTTCATGGTGCCTGAAGCTACGGAGTCTCTCGATGATGTATATCGTGCGATATTGGTTAAGAACAATCAGAAAAACCTCGTGGGGCGGGTACGGCAGCACTTCCAAATGTTGCGAGACGCAGAGATACCGGTACATATTCTTATTGGAAGACGTCCCCCAAGCTCTAGCAGTTTGTACTGGGGGTGGCCATATTCTGATACAAAATGGAAACGATGGCTAGAAGAGCCATTCGATGCTAATCTCGCCGAGGTTGCAGATTTGGTCGATAGTCTGAGTATCTTCTATGATCTTCGGAATCCTCTCCCAAAGGAACGACTGGGGTACATTGACGCCGCGGATCCTTATAAACCCCCTGACCACGTTTGTCCTTATGGAACACTTACACACCCTCTGGAAGAATGCTACTTCAAACAACACCAGGCCACGAAGCAAAATTCGAAGCAGAAGATGGCGAATAGGCATGTCCTTGGGGTGAAGACACGGAGAACCGAGTCTTATGAAGGTCTTGCCACTGGATGTGTCTCCGCGCCGCCCGTAGGGGAAAATGCTAACGACCACCCCTCTGATGATTCCGAATTTGAATCTGATTGCGGTTCCGAAGACCCTCTCGCCCCGGACTTCAAACCCAAATTCCATCACGTCGCCCGACGAGCCGCGTTTGTTCGAGAGGCTGTTGGATGGCAACGGTTCTGGAGTACATATGCCCTCAAACTCACTCGTCTAACACTACTTCGAGTGCGGATGCCATGTGCCTTTGATCGAGTTGGATCTTGGCGTCTTTCAAGGCTCCTTGATCGGGCTATCGGTTGGGGGATGGTTGCCTACACCGATGAACGACAGCACATGCAGACCAGAGAGGATCGCATGGCGGTCAACGCAGCGCCTGGCGGTAACTGGATAGCAGAAGATTATGTCTTTCCCGCTGGCAGATTTGTCCGAAGAAGTTGGATATGGCCTCAATGCCCAGAGCAGCCACAGAGCGAGAAGCTGAGGGATGCAGAACTTCAAAGGGCTGTGGATGAGAAGCGGCTCTCTCTGGTTGAATGGAAGAATCAGTGGGGTAACCGAATGTTTCTCAAAGGCACCGACCAAGATGAGCAACTAGAGCAAGAGAGAGAAAATGCAGAGCTCACTAAAGCAGTGGCCAGGGCCGCAACAGCGGGCTCTCGTGAAACGAAGGTGGAGGAACGTCTATTGGAGGATTTCAATGTCGTCCGAAGATTGTTACCGTTCCACGGCCGCGTAATTCGAGAAGTTTGGAATGATGTTCTTCAGCGTCGCATCGATGAACTCAAAGCGGAATGGCGAAATGTCGCCACGGAAGCCGAAAATGCGAGGCGCAACAAGGCTCCAAACCATGAAGAGTTATGTAATCTAGCTGAGGAGCGTATTTCGAAAGTGATGCCATTGATCACAAGACTCGGAGGGCTCCTTGTGGAAGTGGAAGAAGAGCCCGAAGAGTCAAATTCAAAACCTACCGGGAGTCAACAGAATGGCGTTGATTCTATTTCCGCGAATGGAGAATTCAATGGCGACCGAAACGGCCCCGGAGAAAGTCAACAGAATGGCCACGATCCTTGCGGCATCATCGATTTCGAGGATTCAGAGGGCGAAGGTGGAGAGGGCCTGCTTCCAATTACCGCACAAGATGGTGATGCGGCCCTGGAAGCTGAATCAAACGCACTTTTCGAAGACCTTACGGACCCCACGACTTTATTACCACTAACCTCAACACCTCCGACCGACGCGCCTGCTGCCAAAACATTTTCGCATTCATCTGCACCAAGCAAATCGCATACAGAGAGTAAGAGTAAGTATAGTGATACGAGTGGCGGCAAGAGCAGTACTTCATCCAAGCGCAAGGCAGATGGTGCTCTTGGCGGTAAATCCCGTAGTCCGGCGAAGAAAGCAAAGCCAACTCATCCCACAGGAACCTCTACTTCTACCGCTGACCCACATGATGATGCACAGCCACCCGCGTCGTCGAATTCTAGCAGCTCCGAGGAAAGTGAAGGAGGCAAGAAGTTCGACGGACACATACGAATTCCTCTACCTCCAAAGTTTCTCCGACCAGCAATTAAGAAAAAGACGACTACTGTCAGCGAAGGAACCAAGACAGAGAGCACAACCGTGGTACCCGGTCTCGCAATCGATCCACCGCCCTGGAGACGACCGGGATCGAAGTCGAGCAGCTTCAACCAGAAAGAGAGAAGTCGGAGCGGTGAAGCTGCGGCACCGCAACCTGCTGCTGCCCTCGACGAATCGTCGAGTCTATCCACTGCGCCTTCCTATGAATCCGAGCCTGAACTGGAAGCGACATCTAAACCCAAGACTGCACCTACGCCCACAAAGGGTAAAGCCAAAGCCAAGTCGAAATCCCCGTCCACAGTCCCAGCACCTTGCCAAAAGCCCTCGCCCTCCAAGAAACGCAAGTCCACTTCCGACGAGGACGGCGACGACTACGAGGACGGGGAATCCGATGCACCTAAGAGGAAGGCGAAGAAGGCGAAGAAGAACAACGATGATGATGGGGATTACGAAGAGAAGAAACCTACGCGGGGAAGTTCGAGAAGGATGCCAGCGAAGAGACCGGTTAAGACGCCTAGGAAGACGGCAGCGGAGGGCACGAGGAAGAGTAAGAGGCTTCAGGATAAGGAGAAGGAGAAGGTGAAGGAGAAAAGTAAGGACTTGTAGTAGAGAAGGTGATAGCAGCAGGGTTGTGGGGTGGGGAGGTATATATATCCTTGTAGTTTTGTGTTTAGTCGGTTTATGTATTGTAGTGTAGTATATTGTTGTTTAGTATTTTTGATGTGTTAATCTATGTCATTCTTCTCATGGCGGATGTTTGACTGTATATCTATCTTTGAAATTTTTGAAATCGATATACACTTGCAGCAAAAGCAAAAACATCCTAAAACAGGGCGGCGCCACAGAATCGAACTGGGATCTTACTGTGAAATACAGTGAATTCTAATACCGTTGAACTACACAGCCGGAGTTAAATGTATTGCTTGAACTTGGATTTGGTCGCGCGGCCAAATCAAAATATTAATGCACCGTGCAGTATCGAGTTTTGCGGAATTGGACGGTTTCTATAAGTAGACATTGTGGCGGGGAGGAGGGGCGAAGGAGTCTTGGGGAAGGTGAGATTATAGAAGTGGGAGTGATGGTAGTAGCGGGGGCGAGCTTTCAGCCAAGTTAGGCTAGTCAGACGACTTATGCTTGTTGAACTTGTTCAAGCAAGTGCCAGGCTTTCTGTAGTTATTCATACAATATCAATATCCCTTTGAGCGAGGACTGCTGGCCTTTGTAGACCTTCTCTAAGGTCATAGTTCGGAAGATGTCTCGCTAAAGTATGCTCGAAGTTGCATACTAGAACAGGGATTGGGAATTCGTTCTACGAAGTTGGCGGCTGTCGGTGCGCATCGCTCTGCTGAGTCTGACTCCTGTACTGAATCTGCCGATTTTGGAAGTTGTTGTTCTGTGAAGTGCAAGCTTGGACCCATTTCGGGGCTTTACGGTCGAATCCCGATGTTTCACATTCTATGAAGGGACAACGTGGGGTCGAGGAATTCGGATCCCTGGTTTCAAACAAATCTTATCAACACCACTTTCTGATTTAGGAATGCACTTTGCGCAGTTTGAGTCGTGGAGTTCGGGATATGGCTGTGGTACATACGGTTGGGGCTGAGGGATTTGGATTTAGATTCCTGTTTTTGAACGGGTGTTACCGTATATTCTGCTCGGCGGTTTTGACCATCTCCTAAACGGACGACGGCACGTCTCCATATTGCACCCATGCACCCGGCACGGCTGTGATTATGGCGTGAGGGTACGTTCTTCAGGCCTTAGCCAAAACTACCTTGGAGCAGAACACAACATAATTTCCTGGGAGTCGTTTTTGACTATAGCAGGAGGAGTAAAGCGCAACTAAAATTAGCCACTTTAAGGCGGCAGCTCAAGGGGCGGAAATTACCGCGGCGGCGATCGGCAGCACAGCCACGGATTTTAACCTATTGGACCCCCTGCTCTCGATTATAGTCAAAAACGACTCCGAGGAAATTATGCGGTATGTGGTATGAAGATCATGCGAGATTAGGGATTAGTGCCTACGCATTCAGGATGCAGGTGCGGATGTGAATGTAGATCTTGATGTTATTGGGGTTTTCACGCACATACCCATGTAACCCTTCCAAGAGCTAACTGTGGATGGGTGGCCTTGTTCCTGCAGTCAGCCTCGTAGTTTGAGAAACGCCGGATGCGGGGAACAACCTAGGAAAATGGTGTTGTTTGTTGGATGATTATATTCCCTGTCCAACTCTGGGGGCGAAATAACGGTATTCGTACGGTTTGGGGGATGCTGAGATGGAGGTTTGGATGCTTGTGGTTTGAACAGGATGGAATAGAAGATTGGATTGAAGCAAAGACTGCACTACAGCATATGCGTAACGAATGTGAGGTGACAAGTATGTGGTATAAAGTTGATTCAACACAACTGCGAGATGTTGTACTCTTGTTTTCTCTAATTTTGAGGCGTACTCGCAGTCGCGGCGAGGTACGGATGGATGCGTAATTCGTCTACTTACCTGTTCAGGCGAAGCCATCGGATTTGGTAAGAACCTCAACACGGCGACGTGACGTGACGTCAAAGCTCGTATTTAGAATCCTGTCCCACAATAATTGTTTCAATTAGAAGATGTTGGATTGAGAATCGCGTGGCTGTGGCAACGGGGTATGCTACAGAACCTTGTACGTCACGGTAGCTGGAATTGGTATATAAAGCCAAGCATCTGCGACTCGAGATAGCCACCAGCTCATAACACCATTGTCATTTACCTTGATATTCAAGTGCTCCTCTTCACGGATTTTAGCCTATCAAGTATCAGCTATCAACGCATCACTTCCACTTTACCGTCGACCGCAAATTTTTTCAGAATGGCTTGGGTTCAAGGTTTTGCGTCGGTACTCATCAAACTCGGACTCCTTGGATTGGACGCAGGTACCAGCCCAGCTACGCTTGTATGTCTCTTCATTCCTGCCCTCCATCTTTCTCCTCTCCATGTATCCATTTCTCTCGCTGCACTCTCTACCTTCTCGGGGACCCCCATGCACTGACTAAATGCATCAGGATCTTTTGAATGGCGGCGTTACCGGTGGCGGAGCTATGAACAGTCCCAGTATTCCAAACACCTGTATTTTCCAGGTGACGGGAATCCCTGGGACCGTGAATCCGTATAAGCAGGCTGATGTTAGTATCAGTGCATGGTTGCGTTGTAAGTAGTGATCATCCAAGCGCCCTGAAATGAATTGACAGGACTCACAAATTTCTCCAGGTGGAGATAAGACTGATTTAGTGGGCTCGTGGATTGGAGTTCCAACTGCGACGTAAGTCCGCCACAACCCCACATGCAAGCCTACGCCTTCCCTTCCCGACTAACCCCTCGTATAGCGATCTCAAAGTCTCCGACCCCCGCATCGGCGACCTGACGCTGAACTTCCAAGCCTCCAAATTCCCGACTTACCCTTTCCCGGGCGATCTCATTGTTCGTGACGGGTATTGGACAGACTCTGCATTTAAAGACGGCATTGGTATGGGTAACTGCATCAACTTTTCGAAACATTCTGGCCTTATAGGCAAGGATTGTAGTGGCGAGAAGGTGATTTTGATCGCCTGTGATGAGGGATTTGGAGATGGGAGTTCGGGAGTGATCAATGATAAGAATATACAGGAGAGGGGCTGGCTATATGCTATGGCTTTGCCGGTCCAAGGCGTAAATCCTGGATGTTCGGATGGGAAGAGAGCGGTGGAATTTAAGGGGTGAGGATGAGGTTGGGACATTATTTTCCTTGTTAGTATTTCTTGAAATTAATTCTGCTATTTTTCTGAACTCATTTCGGAGGCTGTGGTAGTTGCTTCAAAATCTCATCTTCATTGGTTATACAGAACTTATCCTCCATCGGAGTGCTAATTCAAATACGCCGAGCCTCTTGCCGAAATTTATCTCAGACACTATCTAGACAAGCTGCCTCAGCCCCAATGTGTCATTGACGGTAATCCATGAACCATTCTGTGATCAAGAAAATTGCGGGACACTGCGGATCGATTTCCACTCATTGAGTGGGTTTTTTGGCACGTAAACGACCACTCAATGAGTGGAAATTTTCCACTCATTTTACACTTATTTTTCTACTTATTTTTCTACTTATTTTTCTGCTTATTTTTCTACTTATTTTTATATATAGTTATAAATATTTGTAAATAATTTAATTAAAAATAATTAAAAAATAACCTTAATAATTCGTTGCGCTAATATGGTGTACTAGCTCTATCTATAGCTCGATCTAGTACATAGTGTACCACGCAGGGGCTCGGCTCCCCTCGGCTCCTACCCCCACGGCTCCTCAACACCAAATCTGCTCTCACGACCTGCCCTGCCTGCCCTGCCTGCCCTACCTGCCCTACCTGCCCTGCTAGCTTGTTGCATTGGTGAATTGATCTCTCTACATCGTAATTAGTCTGCAATCTAACGTGAATCTAATATAAATACTTGACTGATGAGGATGGCGACGATGGAGATGGAGATGGCGATGGAGATGGAGATGGCGATGGAGATGGAGATGGCGATGAAGATGGAGATGGAGGAGGAGTAGAGGAGAGATGGAAGGAGGGAGGCAGGGAGGGTCATATAGTCTGTGTGGGTGAGCCAAGCCCGCCCGGTGAAGGAGTGGGGGAGGGGGGCCCACCTCAGCACCAGATTCGAAAATCTCTAAGTAGATTCACTGATTTAGTAAAAAATTAGACAATTTTACTTAGAAAATAAGCCTAAGTAGGGTTTTCTACTCAATGAGTAGGGTTTTTCCACTCAATGAGTGCCCTGAGTGGGGTTTTTCTACTCAATGAGTGGGTTTCCACTCAATGAGTGGAGTTTTTCCACTCAATGAGTGGGTTTTCCACTCATTGAGTGGAAAACGATCCGCAGTGGAGAGAATTGTTGTTCGACAGGCGTACTCAGACACTCATCGCGTACTAGATAGCCGACCACAAATTTATTTATTATTGTAAGCAGGTGGGGACTAGGTGTCACTTGAGATAGAGAGTAGATATAGTGGGTGAATTGAGTGTTCTCGTGTGTATTGTGTGTAGCTCCCATGTGTGTGTGTAGTATACAAATCAGAGGCTCTTGTAGTAGTTGATCGAGCTTAGTCACAGGACATGTACAGTCATGTGACGTAGCTCTGGCTGCTTACAATTATTCATCGATTTTAATCAGCCATGAGTTTGTCGTCTTATTGAAATCGTGTCAATTTTTTAGCCTTCCAAAAGTCCAGAACAGCGCCATCATATCTTAGTACCCAACACCAGGAAGCATGCTGCGAGATAAGGCGTCCAGTCAGCGCCATACCAAGAAAGCCCACGATTCAATAGGCCCAATATCTGATCGGCATCTTCCTCCTTTACTGCATACCTGTCAACGCACACCACATCTCGCGATGTTCAGAGGCACCTATCCGTCCATTGACCAACGCCACCAAACTTTGGCCTCCACATCACTTCAGGAACCATTTAGCGATATGGAGCACTTAAAGGCTAAGGCTGCAATATTCAGCTGCATGGGCAAGCTGTTTCGTACATATACCCCGCTCGGTCACACATTCACTCTTCTCGAGAAATGGAAGTCCACCCTTACCATGATGGGCCGGAAGTGGTTGAGCATCACCACAACCCCCCGCCACATCACTACCAACAATATTCGCAAGTTCCTCCTTTTGCGCAACAATTAGAATCCCCGGGCCATCCGAATTATCACAATCGGACGTCGTATGTGTCGCCACCGCCGCAATATGGCTCAAAACCGAATCATGATGCTGGTGTAGCGTACCCGATCGCGGAAGGACGGCCTGGGGTGCAAGATGAAAAGAAGAAGCGTTGGTGGAGGGGGTGGTGGATCATCGGGCTTGCGGTTCTGGTCGTGGTGGGGGCGGCTGTGGGAGGA